CCCACTTTTCTCTCCCTCTCCCTCACACGACATACAATACTCGTTCCTCCCAACTCCTCCCCAGCGCCAGTTCCCCATCCTGTGCCGCTGTCTCTCTGTGTGTAAGTCTGCCAAGAAAACCTGCATCATCTGTGACGAGCGCGAGCGGCGTGGGTTCCATTCTTGCCCGACGTCTGGGTGCGGGGTGGCCTATTGTCCGGAGTGCTGGAGAGATGTCAAGAAAAAGTGCGTCTCTTTGTGTGTGGGTTTTGTTTTTGTTTTGTTTGTCTGTTTGCTTGATTTGTATCTTGTTTTCTCTTTAATTGCGGTGGTGGTGATGATGGTGTTGGTGTGGCAGCGGTTGTGGTAATGTTGGTGGTGGTCGTTCTGATAGTGCTTTTTGTTGGTGGTGGTATTGATGGTGGTTGTTGTGGTAGTAGTTGTGATAACCCTTCCCCCTTTCCCTTCCATATACCCCCCTCTCTTTCCATAATATATAACCCTTCTCCTTTTCCCTTCCATATACCCCCCCCTCTCTTTTCATTTCATATAACCCTTCTCTTTTCCCTTCCATATAACTCCAACTTCACCCTCATATAACCTCCTCCCCTTTCACCTGCCATGTACCCCTCACCTCACCTTCTTTTCATTCCATACAACCCTTCCACTTTTCCCTTCCATATACACCCCCCTCTCTCTTTTCATTCCATATAACCTCCTCCTCCCTCTTTTCATTTCATAACCTCCTCCCCTTTCCACTACCATATACCCCACACCTCACCCTCTAAATAACCCTCTCCCCTTTCCCCTGGCATGTAACTCCAACCTCACCCTCGTATAACCTCCTCCCCTTTTCCCTTCCATATACCCCCCCCCTCTTTTCACTCCATATAACCTCCTCCCCTTTCCCATTCCATGTATCCCTCAACTCACCCTCATATGATCCCCCCCCCCCTTTCCCCGCTACTCAATCACAACACCAGATGTTACGCGTGTGGAGAGGACAGTGAGGCGGAGAGCGACGCCAGCGACCTAAGCACGCTCACAGAAGACGATGACGACGACGACTAATTCTCGTGACGTCAGGACGGGCCTCTGAAGTCTCATTTCTTTTGTGTGTGTGTGTTTGTGTATC